TGATGAGTGAAAGGAGCCCTATACAATTCTGCTCATATGAAATGTCCAGAGTAAGTGAACCCAGAGAGAGAAAAGGTAGATTCATAGATGCTGGGGTTGAGGAAAGTGGAGAATGGAGAATGACTGCTAACGTGTATCAAGTTTTCATTTTTGGATGATGAAAACATTCTGGAATGAGAGAGTGGTATGACTTTTGGCACTTATGGAAAAGAACTGAATGGTACAATTTAAGAGGGGTATGTAAATTTAATCTCAATTAAAAATATGAAAAATATAAGCACATACATTTAATATGCATAATGGTGCTCCCTTTTCCTCTTGTCTCATTCCCATCCTAAAGCACAGACACGTGGAGTGGCCATGCTTATCCTCTGGCTTCTTCTATTGCCTGCCCATCTCCAGAGACTCACAGTTGAAAACATTGGGCCTTAGGGGCATGGAAGGAAATCAAGGAGCCAGAGGTTCATGGATCAGCTAGGGGAGATCTAGGGGAAATATTTCTATTCCATTTCTTCGTGGGAGCCTGCCTAGCAAATGTGAGGCCCTGAGTTCAAACCCCAGTACCGTCAAAAAAAAAATCAAAACCATTTCTTTGCGGGAGAAGAAATAGGTTTCACACTGGACCACAAAGCTGGCTGGGGAATCTCTTAAAAAATTTCACCTTTCTAATCTCATTCTAGTCTCTTAAGCACTTTCCTAAGGATTGTAGCACCAGGAAGGAAGGAAGTCCATCCTTCTGTCTGTCTATCTGTCATCTACTTAATCATCCTATTCATCTATCTTCTGGCTAGCTAGCTATCTCTGTGCTCATTTATTTGGTTCCCAGTAACTTAATGAGCCTGAATCACTCTCCCTTCACCTGAGACTGGGACACTGAGAACACTAAGGGCCAAATTCTGGATTGAGGTAAATTCTCATCTATCATATCTTAATATATATGCTAATGTCAGTACAGTAACAGTTGAGAAAGATTTTGTACTGAGCAAGACCCTGGGGACAAGCTTGCATTTGGTTTGACAGAGTACCATGCTTGATTAGTAATGTCTGCTTTGGACATATGAGGAAATTCATTGTGTATGTTCTGCAAATTTCCTACCTGACATAAATTTTTCTCCCTCAGGAACCTAAAGACTCCTGAAAACTTTCTGCAACATCCCTCTAACCTTGAAATACTGCAATAGCTATGATGTGAAGTTGCATTGTTGCATTGTATGTACAGTATTCAGTTTCTAGGTAGGTTCTTCTGTGTGAACCCCAGGAGCAGGAGAGTAGGAGGGAGCCCAGTGTGTTTGGTCACATCACCCAGGTCAACAACCCTTTGACAGGACATTGGCCCTCTCCTCCTCATAAAGGCTTCAAAGTTAAAGGTCAAATAAAAGATCAAAGATCTTTTCATACTCTCTCACAGTTAAGTGAAACCAAAATGGTTTCATGTAAACTTTCCAAATGGAAACTTACATGCCTGTGTCCAGTACTTTAACTCTTTTGCTATTTAGTATTCTATGAAAAACTGTAGTCTTACCTTGCATTTTACTTTTAGTGCTATGCTCAGTTGAAGATAGTACACATTAATAAAAATACTGATATTCTTGACAATAAAGACAATTTAAAAAGAAGAAATACATATACCCAAAGTGGTAAAGGGGATTTGTTTCATATTGTTTTGGATTTTGGAGTGATTTCTGCAATAAATAATGTATCATACATCTAATCAGAACCTTCAATATAGCTATTTCTTGAATCAACAGAGGAATTATCAACAAAAAGACACAATTAGCCCTAAGCAAAGAAAAGCAAATACTTTCTTGACTAATGGCTTAACTAGAGAGAAAGAACAGAACAGAACAGAGAAATAACAGAAATAACAAGGAAAGATATCTGCTAAGCTGCAGCAGGGTATAAATATCTCCAACATTTATCAACAACACAGCGAGGGCCTCAGAAGAACCCGGCCCTAAATACAAGCAAACTGGAGAGAATAGAACAATGAGCTCCCATGACACTCACCTACCTTCAACAACTGCCAGTCATGGCAAATTGCATTTAACCTACTTTTCCTTACTCTCTAGACTCCTGGGTTATTTTGAAACAAATCTGAGAATATGACTTCATATTCATGTATTTTTAAAGGATCAACTATCATAAAAGTCATAATGCATTCTGCTTAAAATTATCCCTAAAGTCATCGGTGTTAAAATGAGCAGCATTACAGTCCCCACTTCTGCTTCTCTTTCTCTTTTGCTTTAATCAGACTCCAAACAAGGTCCGTACATTGCGTTTTGTTGATCAATCTCATAAATCTTTTTTTTTTTTTTTTTGGTGCGACTGGGGTTTGAACTCAAAGTTTTGTGCTTGCAAAGCAGGTGCTCTTACTGTTTGAGCCACACCTCTAGTCCATTTTTCTATAGTTATTTTGGAGATGGGGTATCTCATGAACTATTTGCCTGGGCTGACTTTGAACCATGATCCTCCCAGGCTCAGTTTCCCAAATAGCTAGGATTACAGGAATGAGCATAAATCTTTTTTAATCCACAGATTATACCTACCTGTTTTTCCTTTCCTTATATTTGTGGAAGAAACCAAATTCTTTACCCAGGAGAGCTTCCCATAGTCCATTTAACTGCCTGCCTCCCTGAGGTATCATTTCACCAGCTGGCCTCTGCCTCCATTGTTTCTCGAACCTAATAGTTAAGAGCTAAAGTCTTCATAAGTCCTGAGTTCATTTTTTTAGCAAGAGTAATTCCCAGGTAGCGTGTGTACTTCCATCAAGAGTCACACAATGTCTGTCTCTCCCTCCCTTTTTGTGTTTTTCAATGACAAACTAATCAGGTCAGCTTTGCACCATCCATGACTCTTGCATAGGCCCTATTTCATTAGGGGCTTTGAAACTGGATTTTACCACCTTCTGCGCTTTGGAGGAGTGCTCTGGTTTCAGAGAGGAAGGTCATTGAAAAAGGCTGATACCAAAGGCAGGAAAATGGGAGGAAGGGGGCTACAAGTAGAAAAGCAATAGAATTGTGGGAGCAAAGATTTTGTACTTTTAAAAGTGTGAGGGGTACTGCTAAATTATCCTTCCCAAAGAGCCTAAACCAACTTCTACTTTCAGTAAGTGTGTTCGTCTCCATATACCCTTACTTTGTCAATTTGATTGGTTAAAACTTTACCTCATTCTGGTTTACAATTGTTAATTACAAGAGAAGAGCAATATATTTTCAAATTCATACTGGTAACTTGTATTTATTCTTCTGTAAAAATCTGTTGATATCTTCTGCCCATTTTTTCCATCAGTTTGTCTACATCTTTTACTTTTTAAGAATTCTCAGTATATTAGGGAAATGAGCCCCTTCTGTGGCATGTCCTACGTGTTAGAGATGTTTTTTTACTGATTACTGTCTTTTGACTCTGATTAGGACACTGTTTGTTTTATAGAAATTTTATATTGCCACACAGCACATTAGCAATGTTTCCTTCATAGTTTCTGACATTCTTTGAAAGGCTTAACCATTCCAAGACCATTAAAAATCATTCACAATTTATGGTTTCCCTTCCTTCCTTCCTCCCTGCCTCTCTCCCTTCCCTCCTTTTGATTCTGCATAGAAATGATTGGTTCTCTTTGATGTAAGGATCAAGTTTTTATTTCATGCCAGATGTTTCAATACTATTTATGGATGACTTCTCTCTTCCCTAAGTGGTCTGAGCAGTGCTTTTATCATGGACTACACATTGTATGCATTTGTGTCTGTTTCTGCAACTTGTGTGTACTAGTGCTCTATTCTTTTTTCAGTACCTGGTTCTGTGACACATTCAAATGTTGGCCTTCTGCACTGTATACCCTACATGCCTCCTTGAAGGGTTGTGTGTGAACCCAAGTGGTGTGCAGTCTAATTAGTGTAGTTTAGTTATCATTGCATGACATACATCCCGAGCCTCAAAGGTGTCAAGTGACAGTCAGTTATTGCTCATACCTTTATAGGGAATGCTGGACTGGGTTCAGCAGGGTTGGCTCTGCTTCACGTGACTTTCATTTTATTCCCAGGGCAGCAAGTTAGCCTGGGAATGTACACCCCACTGTGATGGAAGAACACAAGAGGGTGAGTACAAGGGAAAAGACCCACAGGCCCAGGCTGTGCTGATACATTGTCACCTCTGCCTCATTTTATGGGTCAAAGCCACAGTTGACCTAAAATCATGGTTGACAAAGTCCCCTTCTGACCCTGATTGAGACACAGCAAGTGTGTGGATACAGAGAAGGTGAAGATTTGGGGCCACAATTCCAACCTCCTGTGGCTACTGATAATTGTTTAAATGGTGATGCTTCTATAGAAAATTTCAGGTCCTCATTTAAGATTAAAGATAGAAAGGGGCTGCTAATATATACCTGACTTATCTTAAATTCAGAAAACTAAAGTACATAGAAAAGTACAGAGAGCATTTAACATCCAAAAACAAAAGGTTGCTTTTTTATTCAAGAAATCTAACTCTACAAATACATAGAGATTATCTTCTTTTAAACTATTATATTATACTCTATATCACTATATCATAATTCAGATATCTTTTCCTCTACTGATAGATGCTTTTGCTTATTACAAATAAGCAAACATTTAAAATCACATTTTATCAAAATGTTAGTTATCTACAAATATTGCACAGATGAAATCCAACTTAACTGATAATTTAAAACAATCCTAAGGGATATACCGTACTGAAAAATGTTATAGAGGGATCATACATTATTACTGATCAATTCTCTTCTGAAATATGTGCTCCTCAAGAAATGAACAAAAAATAGTACTTAATACACCATTATTCACGAGTATTCTACTAGCCACAGCCCAAAAGACCATCAATCTGCACCTAGTGTTATCATTTCCTGTTAATATTTAGTCAGTATTTCCAATAAAACTGGCTTCTTCAGATCAAAGGCTTTTCCATAGGTTCTAAAGGCAAGTCAAATAGCTGTCCATGGAATATTAGGATTTGACTTGCTCCATCCTCTTACATTTTGTGTCTTATACTAAATTAAAGAAAGAAGAGGTAAAGAATTCTAAGGCTAAATTGCTAGAAATATTCAAACCTGAATATTCTTCAAAGACAGTGTGGAGGCAATATTAATTGGAGGAAGAAACACAAGGAAAGCAAAATTCAGATGTTTTCTATGGAAGTACTCCTTTTGGCTGCTTTGATTTCCACTGGTAAGTCAAAAGTACAATTTTAGACTCTTGGCTAATTTTTACAAATAGATTTTAGTGGTAGATTTAAAAGTCATTAGTAGCACAATCACAAAAAAAGTATATTGGCTATTAAAAATAGATTAGGAAGGATGTATGGTGTGGGGAGAAGTCTCTCCATTTCTACCTGAATGCTCTGGTTCTTTAAGGAGGGAACATTAATGTGGAGTAGGAAGACTTTCATAAAGCTTTCCAATCTTGGTCTGGGATTTAACTGGAACAAAACTAGAAAACAAAAACTTGTACACGGACTTAAAAAGTTTCTAACACAAAAGGTGGTGTAGATTAGAACAAAGGGACTGCTTATAGCATTAAGGGAGAAAGAAGAAAGAAAAACAGATTAATAAATTGTCTAATATATATGCCTCACCTTCCAAGGATAAATGCTAGTTGCCAGAGTGATGGCCCTGTATCTTGATCAGGGTGTTAATTTGAAGCTTTGATCCAAGATGGAAGACTTCTAAAGCCCACATTTTAATTATATTAGAGAGTATGCTTAATGGGTATCTGTAGTTTCTCTTCACAGTAAATGTATAGCTTGTTTCAAAAGGAAAGATTGAGTTTCTTCACTGTATCTTTATGAATGTTAACACTGGATATCAGGAAATTTAATTCAATTGACAGTGCTTGTGACATCAAAAAGACAAGCTGTGCTTAATGTTTGCACAAAGTACACTGAGAGAGACAGCCCCTTCTGCATGGTTTAACATTCGGTAACTTTTTACATAATTGTTCCTACTTCCTTTCTCACTTCTACTCTGTTCTCACTTCTTATCTGACTCCACTCCAGATGAAATTGCTTTGACTTTTTTTTTTTTTTTTTTTTGTGGTACTGCTTGCTAGGCAGATGTTAGACTACTTGAGCCCCTCTGTCAGTCCTTTCTTGTGTCGGGTATTTTTGAGATAAGGTCTTGCTTTTTTGCCGAGGCTGGCCTTGTACTTTGATCCTCCTGATCTATGCCTCCTGAGTAGCTAGGATTACAGGCCTGAGACACCAGTAACTGGTTTGCTTTGACATTTTAGATTATTTCTAGACTCTCCCTCTTCCTTGTTCACAAATAGAAAAGAGATTTATTTAGGGTTGAATAAACTTGACTAAAGTATGTTTTGCCTTTAATTCAAACATTTGCTTGTATTTGATTATTAGAACCACAAAGGATTTCAAAATTACTTTAGAATTTCTAAAGTTATTTCTTTGAGCTGTGCTGTTTGGTTATTTTTGCTTAACCTAAGCACAATGGTCCCTCTGTTAGCTAATAAATCAAAAAAAATTGAAAATCATAAATCACACATTAGAGGATAATCTAAAATAAAGTATAATGTGGAGGTTAATGCTTATAAATAAGTAAATATCTTTTAGGCCATAGAACAGTGTTCTGTGGCCAGGGAAAAAGTCAATTTTATGTTTGAATCAGGATAGAAAACTTTGTAAGGAAGATCTTCCCATAAGCTACAGAATGAGGGAAGTAGACTTCTCAGAATCCCCTGGAGACTTATAAGTAAATGGAGGTTGGAGACAACTCAAGCTCTCACAGTTCTCCTTTTCAGCACTGGCTGGGCCATGGGCTAACATATGTGCTGGCAAGTCTTCCAATGAGATCCGGACATGTGACAGCCATGGCTGTGGACAGTATTCTGCTCAAAGGTATGGTGTTTCACAAACAACCACCAACTTCTTTGGTTCCTCCTTCTTTTCTTAGTGTCCTTGCCCTCAAGGTCTCCCAATGACCTCCCGACAGTAGGAAAACTCAGAGATGTGTGTAACATTGCTGTCTTTGGAGCAATTTCCAAGAACTTTGCTTTAAGGATGGACTCTAAATTGGGAACAGATTATGAGATAAGGAAAAGAGAAGGGAATAAACACAATGCTTTCCTCTCAAAGTCTCTACAAACTGACTGACCTCACCTAACTTCCCAAAGTGAAAATCAAACACATCATATTGCATTTTATAGACAAGGAATTTGAACTGAAGGACCAAACAGTTAAGGGTCCATCAAGCCCAGCTGGAGATGGAGATGGTAAAGGCTACACTTGAATCCAGGGTTTTGGATTATTTTCCCATCAGCCTTGGTGTTACTGAACCACACTCTGAAATTTGACCATTAGAGGCTGACCCTCAGCAGGCAAGAGAGCCTCTTGATCCCTTCCAGACAATGAGAGAGGAATCTGTGGATTTTTAATAATATGCATACTACTTTGGGGAGACACCATCTGATAAAACTGTCAGGTGTACAATTGTATCAGTGATCTCCATCCTGATTAAAGTAGAACTCTCCCTTATACAGATATGATTTACAAAGCAAACTCAAACACCCTAAGTGGGATTAAGAGACGGGGAACATGGAAAAATGGCCTCCGTATTGGCAAAATTAACTCATTTAGTTCATACTCTAAAGTTTTTGCGCTTGATTTATACAGCAACTTCTTGGCTCTTCACTTGGAACCTGATCCATGTTGCCTTATACACAACTCTAAAAATCCTGGTGAATCTGACTGTACACGAGTACCCTATTGGATGGGAGAAGAGCCTGGTAGGAAGCAGACATACTGAGAGCAGTAAAAATCCAGAGCCAAGGGATTGTTAGAGACAACCTCAAGAAACCTCACCATCTGGAATCATTTTGTGTTTGTGCTCCATGCAGTTTACTGAACCCAGGAGGTATCCGTCACTGCATTAAAATACCAGATGCAGTAAATGATGTTTACAGGGACTTTTTAAATGGGAGAAAAATAAGACTAGGGTAACATGTTATACTTTTATGATAGGTTCCCATAAAAAGACAATCCTTCAAAAATGGTCTTGAAGGGGTCAAGATTCAGACAGCTATAAAATTTACTTATGTGTTCTGTCTCATTTCCTCAAGATATCATATAATAATAACTAATATTTGTTTAAGGTTTACCATGTACCAAATACTATTTTAAATGCTTTAATCTTTACAACATGGTTATTACTACTTGTAGAGAGACAGCTTAAAACTAGGCTAAACAGAGTGTTGAAAAATGGGGCATCTAAACATGTCTGGAAGGTTGAATTTTTGATGCCCTAGGCTGAGATCAGTGGGCTAGCACCACATTCCTGGTAATCAGGTTCTCAGGGGCAACTCCTTCATCTGCTTGTCCTTATTTCCATTCTAGAGATCAGAGGTCTCACCAGGGTGTGGATGTCCTGTGCTCTGATGGATCTACCGTGTATGCACCATTCACTGGAATGATTGTGGGTCAGGAGAAACCTTATAAAAACAAAAATGCAATCAACAACAGTGTTCGGCTATCTGGAAGAGGTAAGAGAGGTAGTAGACATACCTGGGATACCTACTGGAGATGTTGATATTTCTTTAATGCATTAAAACCTGCAGGTTTCATAATAGATGTTTTATACTTTTTTCAAAATGATTAAACCTACATCACAAAGGATATACCAAACAAAAATGGTGAACACGTTTCCAAAGATGCTCCAACACTCTTCCTGAAACCTACGTAATCCACCAAACTGTGTAGCCAACTGAAGGTGTTCCTTTTCTGTGGCGCACGTAGTTTTGCTTCTAAAAAAAACTCTAAACAAAATCACTTTCAGGAATATTATCTGTAATGAACAGAAAATTTCATTTACCAAAATCTCACAGTTTGTTAAGTGTTGACATTTCTGCAAGAATTGAATGAACTATTCCCAAAGAAGCCCTCTATTTTTTAAGTAGGTCTCCTACTATGCCAGGTTTGGGGTTTGTTGTTTGGTTGTTTGAATACTATTGAGGGATAATGTATGTGCAAAAATGTGCACAATGAGTAAGTATACAGTTCCACGAATTGTAAGGTTTGGTTGTTTTGGTTTAACTGAGGTATAACATACACACAAAACCATGCTTAATGTGTAAGTGTACAGCTCCATTCAGATCATGACCAGCCTCCCAAGATCCCTTGTGCTACAGGTCAGTCACTCTCCCAGCTTCCAACACCACAAAATAATTTTTCCTTTTCTGTTTTAAAATATAGAATAAAATAGATGAGATGGGGTGTGTTCAGGGTGGTATGGTCATAGACTAGATCATAAATAGTATGTATGACCTTTTTGTGGGGCTTCTTTCATTTCACATCATAGTTGTGAGATTCACTGACATTTTTGCATCCATGTTCACTTTTTTTGATATTTAGCATACCGTTATATGCATATAAGTTCTTTTTTTTTTTTTTTCAGTATTGGGATTTGACCTCTGTGTCTTGTGTTTGCTAGGCAGGCACTCTATGGCTTGAGCCATGATCCAGTCCTCTTTGCTTTAGGCTTTTTTCAAATAGGGTCTCATATTTATACCCAGGTTGACCTGGACCGTGATCCTCCTATTTATGCATCCTGCTCAGCTGGGATAACAGGCACACACCACCATGCCCACCTTTAAAAAAATTGGTTGAGATGGGGTCTCACAAACTTTTTGCCTGGGCTGACCTTGAATCAAATCTTCCTGCTCTCTTCCTCCTAAGTAGCTAGGATTACAGGTTTGAGCCGCTGTGCCTGGTATTGAACCTAGGATCTTGTTCATGTTAGACAAGGGCTCTACACTGAGATACAACCCCAACCCCTCTTGCACTTTTAATGAACACATACATATGCATTTTTTGGTGAGGGAGTGGGTCCAGAGGGCACCCCTTCACCAAGGTTGTAAGGGAACCCAAGTCTTTGAGAAGCTATTTGGTGACTGTCCTCTGTAGACCTACAATGACAACAGAAACTGGTACTATTAACCTGGGTTCTCTAAAGAGTGGCACTTAATGGCCAAGGCCACGGTCAGCATGATCACCTTACAGGCAGCAATCTGAAGAAGCAATCAGGTTCATCCAAACCTCAGAGTACTGTGGCATTAGTTAATTATGGTCACCCTAGAACTGCATAGATAGGCAGTCTACGAAAGCCTTATTGGAAATGCTCTAGATCTCATGAACAAAATTCTGACTCTAATCATCATGATAATGGGTCACAAGCTGGGTCACTCCTTGAGCCAGTTTAGTCCCAGAGTTCCTTGAATGAAAGAGAGTGAGTCCCCCTACAGAAGGGCCCTGCCGCAGAGCCAAAAATTTATTTTGTAACCTTATTTCTAGCCATCCCCAAAGGACCTATAGCTATTTAATTGGATGACTACACATTGGGGGAAGAATAAATGAGGATTTTCAGAGATTTTCTTTTACACTTGCTTAAAATTGACACTAATTCTACTGTGGGCCACCAGCAGACTAGGGGCTTATAGGCACAGCATTTCACTTGGGCTCATCCTACACTGGGACCAGAACATCCTCACTTCTACCCTGCTGTTAATTATCCGGTTTCAGAATCAACCTGTTTAACAACTGGCAGAATGCTGTATGGGAATGCTGTGTCACATGGAATAAGTGTGTCTTCAGCTATACTAGATACTGCCCCAGTTTTCCAAAGTAGCTGTACTGGTTTTCCCTCCTGCCTGGAGTATGAAAGTTCCAGTTGCTTCACACACAATGCTTAATGTCATCTAATTTACCCCTGAATTTCATTTTCACTTGTGTGTAGTGTATGTCATTGTGGTTTTAATTTTCATTTCCCTGATGGTTGATGAAATTGGCACCTTCCCATATTTATTTGTAACATGGATATCATCTATTTTTTATTGTACTGGAGGTACATTGTGACATTTACAAAAGTTTTTACAATGTATCATAGTTGAATTCACCCCTCCATAATTTTCCTTTCCCCTCTTTCCCCCCCAGAATATCATCTTTTTTTGATATGCATATTTGAACATTTTTTTCCATTTTCTATGGTATTGTACTTTTCTTGTTGATATGTGGGGAGCTCTTTATATATTCTGGATATTAGTCCTCTGTTAAATATGTACACACAAATTCTTCTCCCACTTTGTGGGCTGCCTTTCCATTCCCTTATGTGTCTTTTTAGTAGACAGAGATTCTAATTTTTAAAGTTAAATTTAGTTAACAATTTCCCATATTGTTTGCCAACCCTGAAGATATGAAGATATTCCCTTAAGTTTTTTTCTAATAAGCTTTATTGTTTCAGCCTTCAGATTTAGATCTAGAATCCATCTATAATGGCTTGTGTAAGGAGTGAAACAGGGATCAAGATTTTTTTTTTCTACACTGATTTCTAATTGACTCAGCAACATTACTTGACAAGATCATTTTTTTTCTTCTACTCTCTGCAATATCTTTTTGTCAGAAATCAGGATCTGAATATCTATGGGTCTGTTTCTGGACATGTCTCATCAGCTAGTCAACTTGCATAAATACCACGCCTTAATTTACAATAATATAAAATACATATTGATACCTGGTAGTGTTTCTCAACCTTGTTCTTCTTTCAGACTGTCTTGGCAATTCCTAGCCATTAACATTTCCAAATAAATTATAGAACCAGTCTGTCAATCTCCACCAAAATCCTGTTGGGGCTTTCATTGGGTTTGCAGGGAATATATAGATCAAATGGATAAGAACTAAAAAATTTAAAGTCTTCCAACCAATGAGCATGTTATATCCTCTGATTGTTTAGGTCTTCTTTCATTGCTTATATTAGTTGTTGCACTAGTAGTTTCAGTATAGAAGTCTCACATATCTTTTTTAATGTACATTCATAAGACCTACCTTATAGAGTCAGTTTACATCTTCTGTAGCACTACCATTCAATAGAAATACAACACAAGCTATCTATGTAACTTTAAATTTTCAAGTAGCCTTATTAAAGTAAAAAGAAACATTAAATCTTAATATTTTATTCAACCCAATACCTCTAAAATATTATTTAAATGTACAATCAATATAAAAATTGAGCTATTTTACGCTTTTATACTAAATCTTCAAAATGCATTGTATATTTTACCCTGAAGCACATCCTAATTCAGATTAGTTACATTTCAAGGGCTAAACAACCACATGTAGCTAGTGGTTACCTACTGGACAGCACAATTCCATAGCTTTACTTTTTTTGGTCACTTGACCTGTTTATGCTGAGAGCATCTCCTACTGTCTCTGCTTTAAACAGAAGTTTTCTGTGCTATTTAATGCAGGGATAACTGTAACTGCTGTGTCTTCATTGGGAATTAAGGCAGTTAGCAAAACACAGTGTTATCCTTAGCAGTCTTGTTTCAATGCCTTTTGGCCTAAATTCCATTTTCTAGTATGTTACCAGAAAGGATCGTAACACTTGCTTTCTTGTTGCTTCCATTTGCTTGGCAAATATTTCACCAGGTCTGTATTTTTAGCCTTTTCAATCACTGTGTTATTCTATACAACACAGAACTGGACTTTACTTTTCAAGTCAATGGGGAAAATTTTGAAATAGAGAAAGTTAGGTCCCTTCACATTTATAATCCTCTTTTTTTTTTTTTGTGGTACTGGGGTTTGAACTCAGGGCCTCATGCTTGCTAGGCAGGCACTCTACCACTTGAGCCACTCCACTAGCCCCCTTTCACATTTATAGAATGACTCATATATTTGGTCCCTGTCATAATTATTTCATTATACTGACTCTATTACTCTACTTGGTGAGTCCTTCCTTTTTTTAAAAAAAAAGGTTTTTTTTATATTTAGGAAAGTTTACATTTCTATTCCAGATACTTATGTTTTTCTTCATTCTTACAGTCTAATAGTTTTATTAGAATATGTCATTGTTTTGGGTCAATTTTCTACTATCTGATGTTTTTCTGCTACTATTCTTAAATACCACTATTGAGCTTTCATTTGAATCTATTCTGCCTTTGGCATCTTGTAATTGCAGTCTTTCATTTTAATAGGATTCTGTCATTTTCTTCTATTCATCCTTTGAGTTCTTTCCACTCTCTAACTTGTTTTTTCTCTATTTTTGTTCTTAAGTTTTAAATTTTTGACTCAAGACTACTGAAGTCCAGATAATGAATAATTAGACTTATTTTCTTTTAGGTTTCTGTGTCAAAATTTTCTACATTAAGCCAATTAAGTATAAAGGTTCTATCAAGAAGGGAGAAAAACTGGGAACTGTACTGCCCTTGCAGAAAGTCTATCCTGGCATACAACCGCATGTACACATTGAAAACTGTGACCTGAGTGATCCTACTGCATACCTATAAGCAAAGACAAAAACCGATCTTCTAAACACAAAATCATCTTCTTAAAAACCTAGATGCATACCCTGCTTCTCAAGAAATTCGTATTCAAACAGAATATGACAGATGCAAGAAATAAAAGCAGAATTTTGGTTTCAACTCACTGTCACTTTGATGTTTAGGTATGAATTAATTTCTTGGGGCTCTCTGATCTTTTTGTCACCTACAGAACCTCGGGTGGTTTTCTGTTTAGATTTCTCAGTCCAGAAGACCTAAGATAAATAAACAAGTAAATCCAAACAGGTTCTGACACCTTTCAAAACAGTCACCTTTCTACATGAAAGTGAGAAAGTCCCTTCTTTGGCACATGAATGAAGAGTGGCTTACATTGGTAGGCATAGTATACATTGAATAAACATTAGTTCAAAAAATTGGGGTGTTCTTTTGAGTTAATGTAATGAAAGTTCTCAAACAATACTCCGACCCTAGGTGTGTCTAACTGTTTGGAGGAAGAGCTGCTTACATGGATAAGGAAGGATTTGCTGGTCTTTCTACCTACACTCTTCAATGCTCTGTAAGAGTGATAGGTTTTCTAAGTAATGAATGATGTCATACTCTAAAAAGAACACAAATTCTACATTTCAGTGAGGCTGTATTACAGGGAGTGCTAGAAAGAGAAACAAGACTACCTTTAATTGAATTATCTCATGAACTAGGTCAGCCAGCCTCATCTAGCCATAAGTATATTCTAGCCACTTATTTCTATACATCACTATATGTAATTATAATACACATTATTTTTAGTTTTGTTGACAAGAGGAAACAAGATCACACATGTTCAAAGAAACAGAGGTAATTCTGGCTCTGTAAGAAATGAGTAAGATGAATTAATCATTATGAAAACTTTCTTCATGAAATTTTGCTTAAAGTCTTTTGAAGTATAGAAAACTCAAGCAGGATGATTCCATTTTAATATGTAGATATGTTAGAAGGAAAGATAATTAATTGAACTTTAATGCTGGAGAAATGATTCCATTTGTATACCAGAGGCTCTATATAAAATGTTCTTTAAGCTGGTATTGTGGCACATGCCTATGATCCCAGTACTTGGGAAGCCAAGGTAGGAGGATCATGAGTTCAAGGCCAGCCTGGGCTACATAACAATGTTCAAAAGCAATGTTCGTGATATCACCTGGAATAATCCAAATGCCTATCAACAGTGACATACATTAAAAAATTGTATTGTTGAATGAAGTATTATACAAATCCATAATAAATAGACCTCAGCTCAACTTAATAAAATAGATTGATCATAGCAACATCTAGCAATTTTAAGAAAAGCCCCAAATATAACACAAAGGATGATACCCTTTTTAAATAAAGTTAAATGAAATCAAAACAAAATTTCTAAGAACACATATAGAGGTAATAAAATTAAAAAGGAAAACAAGAAAATAATGAACACTAATTATCTCAGGGCAGGACAGGGGAGAATCACATAGAAAGACTTAAGTTATTATCAATGCTGTAATTTTGTAGCTGTGGGTGATTTCATGGTCATTCATTATTATGAATAATGCTTATGCTAGGAGGCAAAAGGACTTTCATGTAAGTGACAGGAAGAATGAACTAATGGTGTTTCTCAGATGTCTGAAGACCTATGTCATATAATTATCACCTTCTTATATCCAGTTAGATACTATTATATAAAACTAGCATCTTATATAAAATAAGCAAGTTAGGAATTAATTTTTTGGTTAAAACATCTGTATCCAGCACCATCAAATTTGATGATCTCTTGTTTTTATTTCCTTGGTACCCACTAACTCTACAGATTGTTTCTGGAGATTACATTTGTTTTCAAAAGATAAAGTCTGTGCTCCCATTGAATATACAAAAAAGGAAATGGGATGCAGGCTTTGAAGGCAACTTTAAAAGCCCTCTAAATTATTTGAACAATGAAATCTATGCTTAGTCTTTCTTTACCTTTTAAAGTGGTTATTTACGCTCATTATCTGGACTGGAGAGCCTCCCAAAAGCAGAGCAAGAGCACTACCTTCTGCCTAGTGTTCATATCTGTTCAAGGGAAATGCAAACTTTGGAAAGAACTTTTTTTAAGGAAGAACTGGAAAACAGCGCCCTCTGGTGCATTGTATTAAAGTGAAGTTTTCCCATGTAGGTTTGAATGCCAAAATAGTTTTGGTAAAAACATTATAAAGTTGGAGTGACAAGAAGTAATACTACTGAGTAACTTACTTTTCCTTAGTAAAAGTGACTATAATATATACTTTGAAAGTTGTGGTGTCAGATATTGTCAGTTTTGCTAAGTTGAATAAAAGCATTTTTTTATTTTGAAAATGTTTTGAGTTAGTGGTAGAACATTAATTTAATGGATGCACAACATCAGTGGCTATTTTAAGAGGCCAGGACTTCAGAGGAAAGAATTCTTACATTTTTAGAGGACAGTTACCACAAGTAGTGGCACAGTGATACACACACACTTAAAAATCTGCTTGCCTCCTGACTTGCCTTTCCTATACTGAGTACAATCCAAATGAGGCCAGCAAGGCTCATAAGAAAGGAAAAGAAAATGTAAGAATTCTATTTTTGTGTTTCTTCAAAACAGCCTACAAAAGAATCTCTCTTCTCATTCTCTCCATTTACTTTTTTTCCGCAAAATTATCCAAACCTTTCCTGAATTCTTCAACAAATGCAGGCTTTTTAACATTAACAAGAATGCTTACAGAACTATAAATATTTCTGAAGGCTGAAATTTAAAATCCACCTAAAACAACTCATTCAATTATCTAGACTCCTGTAATCTTAGCTAAACAGTGCTTTTTCATAAACTTCCAATGTACATGGAGATGTTTCCATTAGACAAAGCACTAAAAATATTCCAAATTTTGTCTCTTTTGGTTGTCTTAAAAATGTTTTGCTCTATCTGGGTGCCTCACAGCTATAATCCTGGCTACTCAGGAGGCAGAGATCAGGAGGATTGCAGTTTGAAGCCAGCCTGGGCAAAATAGGTCAAGAAAAAACCCATCACTCACACACACACACACACACACACACACACACACACACACACACACACAAAAGGGCTGGTGGAGTGACTCAAGGTATAGGCCCTAAGTTCAAGCACCAGTTCCCAAAAAAAAAAAAAGTTTTGCTCTTCCTTAACCTAATAAGTTAGACCAAGTAGAGGAATTTACATGAATTAATGAACTTAGATTATCCTGAGTTTTGCTCTAAACTTCATTATAGTGATTAGTTCTTCAGGTTCGACTACAAGGTTGCTGAAAAGGACCACTTAGAGGAGAACTCATCCTAGTCATCCAGTCAATGTGCTCCCTCTCTCTGTGCCAGAAGCTATGGGGAGAACTACCTCTGACCACTCTTCTCTAGTTCTTCTGTTTTGCTTGCTTCGCCTCTAGTGTAAATACACTGGAGCTCTGTCACCTTGCCATGCAGGTATAGACAATATTCTGCCTCCCCTCCTCCTGTATGCCATACTAAGTTAACATTGAGCAAGACTGGAGGCTTATCACTGCCGTATTTCCACCACTGCTGTGGCACCCAGCTGTATCTCTGTTAAGCCATTTCTTTTATGTTTGTGGTTCTGTTACCCTGATAGGATTTCTAGTTTCCTATTATGTGCTGCTCTGTACCTTCCTCCAATCTTAAGACAAAAATGACATGATCTAAAATAGCAGTAAGTCAGTCTTTAAGAAATTGGTTTTAGCTAGGTGCTGGTAGCTTATGCCTGTCATCATAGCTAGGCAAGAAGGCTGAGATCAGGGGAATCATGGTTTGAGGTCAAGCTGGACAAAAAAAAAATTTTTTTTGCAAGATCCCATCTCAATGAAAAAAAAAAAAAAAACTAGGTGTGGTGGCACATGCCTGTCATCCCAGCAATGGCAGGAAGTGTAAAATAGGATTGTGGTCCAGGCTGGCCTGGGCAAAAAGCAAGATCCTATCTTCAGAATAACCAGAGCACAACAGGGCTGGAGGTGTGGCTCAGTGGTAGAACATGTGCCTAACAAGCATGAAGTCCTGAGTTTAAAACCCAGTACTGCAAAAAAGATAATTGTTTTACTCTTTTTAACCAATAGAATCAGTTCCATTAGCATTTATTGAGCACTCACTAATGTAGCACAAACTGTTCTGAGGGTGAGGAACACAAAGGTGAATATGAGAAACCTGCCTTACAGAGCTGAGAGAGACTGTGGTACAGTGGTGAGAATATATGCAGAAGAACAGTTTCTATGTAGGGTGATATAAAACTTGTTTTTTAAAACCATCATTTACAAGTCACAATGCATTCTATTTGCTTCATAGGTAAGAATATTTAAAGTTTTCCATAATTAAGAATATTCAAAACTGTAAGATAATAAACATTTTATTTTCTTTTTTGAAAGTTGGTTCCTAACAGTAAGTAAAAAACAATAGTGAATTTTACACTGATGGAGTTTACAATGCAAAGGAATAAGCAGGTAATAATTGGACAAATACAGAGTAAAACACCACAGTGATCAACGCTGCAAAGAAGAGCTACAGAATGCTAAGTGCATATGCACAATAGAGACCTGACCCATGAGTGGAGAATAAGCCAGGTGTAAGGAAAGTTTCAGTGAGAGAGATCTGGGAGAGCTCAGAGGGTAAGCCAGGTAGAGGGTGTACAGATGCCTTGTGAATGGAGGGTGCCAGCAGTTTAGGAACTGAGAGAATGGAAAAAGGGCAAAGGGCATCATGAGGCCAAAGAAGCAGAAAGGACCCAGGTGCTGTAAGCCAGTTTAAGGTTAGATCATCCTAAAGACAACAAGCCAGGGAAGAGCTTTAACTGTGTTACTAATTACATTATTGATCACTTATGCAGAGGATGTGGCATAGTTCCAGATCAGGTTTGCTTCCCAAACACATCTAAGAAAACTTACCTCTTTATTTACATAGTACAGTTAATCAATTAATAAACACAGTATCTTTTTTCTTTTCATACTGTTTGAATTGGTATTATTTAATCTTAATCTAATGCCAATTATATTCCAAGTTAATATAAAGTAAGAATCAAACTACTTTGGAAATTAGAAGTTGCTTACTGAATCAAAAGATGATCATATAGAATGCTAAAAATTTTTAAAGGACAATTAAGTAAGCCGCTGTATCTACTGTGATTTTACTCTTAATTTTAAACACCATGTATTTTGTAAAATATATTAATACCAAGATGAACCAGATTCCATTAAGACAATATGAAGTTGTAAGGTAAGGCCATAATTTAAAGGGATGCAAGTTTGATATTATAAATTTACTTAGTAAGCTAAAACATGCCTTCAAGAAAGGCTGAGAAATCTACCTAGAAATCGTCTGTAGTTTTTACCTTATCAACCATCTAACTACATAGTGTCTATGCCCTATGTACGAAGATTTCTAGCTACTCAAATCTCTTATACTTTTTCAAATGACTCTATAGCAGTCCATTAAAACGCATTACAAACAACAAAATATTTAACCTAAAATACTTTAGCAATACATCTTAAAATTTACATTTACATAGACAGAAAGCAGCTAAGAGAAACTTCAGAATCTTTGGTACCTGTTACCAGACAGGCATCACATCAGGGAACCATACTCTTCCCAGATATTTAGAGACTTCAGTGTGAACTTCATCTGGACTATAACTGTTATCAGGGACCAGAACTTCCTCCATGATAGACAACTGGGTTAGCCTTCTCCCACAGAGTCTCACAAATTCAAGGAATGCACTATAGCTAACTTCACACTCACTGAGGCCCAAGGCTGTTAAGTCTTTACAGTGTTCAGCAATACAAATAAGTTCATTATCAAGAGGCTGAAGACCATTTGCACATACCACCAACTCAATTAGTCGTGGGCAGTTAAGACCTATGCGGCCTAGAATTGCTTTGCTTACTGAACGACCAAAATAAAGGTGAGTAACTGGGGTTTCTTCTTTGAAAAATGTCTCAAATTCGTCTTCATATAAAAAGAAGTACATAACGACATTAACTCCAGGGGAGTGTTTAATAAGTGCGTCCCAACTGTGTTTTTTAATAGAACGAAACTCAGTCTGTCCAGGATTTTCACTTACAACATCAATTCGAAGATGTTCAAGGTTAACATGAGCCTCACTTGAAAGTGCCAGGAGAAGTTCGTCACTTAAAATATAATAATTCAATGCCAGTTCTCTAAGGCCTTGACAGTGGTCAGCCACACAAAGGATTCCTGTGGGAAATTGGGAAAAAAATTTAAGAACAAAGAATTAAACTGTTGATAATCCAACATTCTGTAAACTTAAATTTGATATTGATTATTCCTTATTTGCTATATCTAATGATTTATTTATTTTTGGTGGTATTGGGGTTTGAACTCAGGGCTTTAGGCCTTGCTAGAAAGGCACTCTACCACTTCAGCCATGCCCCTAGCCATTCTTTACTTTAGGTTGTTTTTCAGATCTGGGGCAGCCTTGAACTTTGATCCTCCTATCTATGCCCACCATGTAGCTGGGATTACTACCACACTTGGCTGGTTTATTAAGATGGTGGTACCACCACACCTAGCTTATTTGTTGAGATGGGGGGTGGTCTCACTAACTTTTTGCCCTAGCTGGCCTCAAGCAGCAATCCTCTTGATCCCTGCCTCCTAAGTAGCTAGGACTATAGGCATGAGCACTGCATCCAGTTGAAATATCTAATGATTTCTGAGAAGAAGGTTGCCAAGATATATAGGTGTATATGTAAATGTCTATGAAAATGTGTGTGTGTAATTAAAATATTCTCAGGAGAAGCAATTAAAACTTTATCTAGCATGCAGAATAAGACTTCTTTTGAATAAAATTAGTTCAACAAATGTTTCATAAGTATATGATTTTCAGTAAAAATTCCATTGCTATTACTATAATTAAAAAAAAACATCATTCAATCTTTAAAAAATATAACCAACCATCAGATGAAACATGAGGACAGCTACTCATTTTTAGGAGTCTTAGAGTATCACTATTATTGGCCACAAGAATCTTCAATGAAGGGTCATCCACTGGTGTGTCTTCAATTTTGATTGATGACAATGATTTTGAGTTGACAAACACAACTGTAAGTGCTGACACAAAATGAGACTTGCATGGCAATAAGAAGAAAAATGTGAAAACATTATTTAAAAATCATATTTTCAATCATATAATTCATTAAAACTATTCATATTAGCATATGCTAACAAAACACAGTAAAAACAATGAAAAGATTGCTGTTTTTCATAGTATCATTAGCCAGTATAAGACATTTTTATAACCAGTAGTTTTGTACTTTTATGACTGGCAAATGGAATGAAGAGGAAGGAAGAAGTTTCAAAAACTTCATGAAACAGGTCTGCAGTTATTTTCATCTTTAAGGATTTGGCTTTCCATATTAAAAGTATATACAATAAGCCTGTCTCATCCACAGGATTTTTATACGCAGTTTTGACCAAGTGTGATTCAAAAAAAAAATCACATGAAATTTCAAAAACAAAAAATTTTAATTCTCACATGTGCATCCTGCAGCAGACACACCTCAGTCAGTCCCACGTTAGTGTCAGTTGTGCTTAAATATGCATATAATCTGCTGAGTGTTTCCCTGCCGTGAATTCTGTGAAAATATGCTTCCCAAAAAGCAAATGGTACTCCAAAGATACGGTAAAAGTTAATGTGCTTAATTTAGGTAAAAGGTGACAATTTGAGACATGTTGAAAGGCAGCATGTCTTTAGTGAAACTTGGATGACTTTATGGGAAAAATGAACCAAGCATCCAGAACACAGTACTGAACTCAATGCATCCTGAGCATTTGCAAGTCTTCATCGGCAGCAGTCTCTTTGGAATCATATATCCAAGGATACCAAGGGTCTACTGTACTTACATTTGTTTCCAAGAGCAGAGGCTGGCAAATTATGGATCACCAGCCAAATCAAGCTCACAATCTGTTTCTATATGTGTTATGAGCTAAGAACAGTTTTTACACTTTTAAAGGGTTGAAAAAAGATTTAAATCATAATATTGTATAGCATGAAAAGTACAGGAAGATCAGATTTCTATGTCCACAAAGTTTGAGTGATGCACACAGCCATGTCTGGTCTTCATATGGCAAAACTGGAGCTGAGTATTTAAGACAGGATCATAGCCCCTCAAAGCCTGAATATTTATTCTTTGGACATTTTCAACTCTTTCTGTAGAAGAAATATAGTTTTTTTCTGTTTCATTCATTCTGTATTTCCAGACCTAAAATAGTATCTGACACATAACAGATGGTCTATAACTATTTGTTAAGACAATGAGTGAATGAATGAATGGTGGATGAATGGATGGATGGATGGATGGATGTCACAATCCAGTGATGTGCTTTTCCTAGCAAATTAAATCCAAATCTTTATATGCTTTGGAGATTTACAAACTAAAGCTTATTTATAGTTTCACTTCAAAATGAGTGGAATTCCACAAGCTTTCAGATCCACTGCTTTTTGGCAAAGATAGAAGGTCTAGAAACTAAATGTAGGCATGATCACTTTTTCAATTTGAATCCTACTAAAGGTTCTACTTTCCCTATTAAAATGATTGTATTGATTATAAATGCTATGTAATTGTGAGAAAATAAACCAATTTTCACTAATTAGTAATTGGTTTGCACAAATTTTCAAATGGTGGAGGTGCCAAAATTATCACAGACATATAAACATGTCATTTTTTCTTCAAGAAATCAAGGTTTATTTTTCCCTTTAATCATTTCTCAGTTGGCTATGTTAATCTTAGAGGAATTTAAGCATTAGAGTACAATTTCATTATGGTAAAATGTATTTAATTTTTATCTCATTTTTCCTTAGTTTACAAGTGAAAAAAAAAAAAAAGTCTTGCCAGAAGCCATCTGACTAGGTCACTTTAGCTACTCACAGAGGTCACTTTGACCTGAAGGTGGAGTCTGAGATGAAGCTAGCTAATTCTAGGTACCTGCTCGCTTTGTGACTGCATTAGCCACACTAGCCATAGCTATTAGAAACTAAGAAACATTTCAGGCTAATTTGATCTAGAGTTTATAAACAAGAAAATAACTATTTAGAAGTAGTAAGTTTTCATCTGATTACTTATATTACTCTAATTCCCAGATGACTCATTTTTTCAGTCTATCCCTTTAAAAGATAAACAGGCTAGTACAAAAAGCTTGTTCAAAGAGAGCCACAACCCTGTTTATGACAGCGAAGATGCTGCCCTCCCCTTATCCTCTATTATATTTGCCAGTTTTTCTGACAACAACAATTGAGTGCTTATTACATACAGATACTATTTTAATTCTGAGCTTATAATGGTAAACAAAATGGACAGAACCTCTTTAATGAACGTTTTGGTGTGGAGAGATGATAAAACATGTAAAATAAATACATAAGATGACTTCAAGTACTGACAAATCATACAGGAAGATAAAGTATTACAACACAGCAGAGGGTAACTGGAAGAGGATGCTTTCCAAACATGGTTCAGAGAGGACTCTCTAAGGAGATGGCACTCAGGTAAGATCTGAATGAAGGGAAGACAGTCAGCAGTTTCTGTGCCAGAGACTGCTAGCTGCTTCCTAACACACATTCCTCCTTTCTTCTTTGGTAATCTAGTCCCAATTTTTAACTGGGAGGTTGGCACCTAGCTAAAAAATTTCCTGGCCTCACCCAAATCATAATCACCCAGATTATGATATAAATACATCACAGGTACCTCTGGGAAGTCTCTGTGAAAAGGAGAAGGTATGCCCTTCTTCCCTGTTCCTTCCATCCAGCTGCCTAGAACAAGGATAGGATCAGGAGGTTGCTCAGAAAGCCCCGTGGGCAGTGAAAATGATGGAAACTTTGGGGAGAGTAGAAAAGCTGGAAGGAGCCTCGGCTCCTGACAGTTTCACACCAGCTGTGGACCACCTCACCTCTAGATTTCTCTAATATAAGAGAAATAGCTTTAGTTATGTTTCTTCAGCTACTACTGTTTTGGACTTTTTATTATATAAACCCAAACATGGTTCTAACTGGTTCAATTAGTTAAATATTGTATTATTCCATCTTTAAGGGAGAAGTTATATAATCACAGGAAAAATATCCACAGCCTTTCTTGCTCTACATTGAAAGCAAATACATAAACTGGCACTTGAAAATAGGAAGAATAATATCTAAGTTTTATATAAGTGATACCTACTATGGAAACAATTACTAAAATTACAAAATAGATCTAAAAATGAAAACATCTACAAACTACTCGGCAAAAACAGTCAACAGCCAAGAGAAAGCTGCTTTAAGTAATAATCTCAGTACAAGTGGGATATGGTCTGTATTTAGAAAAAGAATCCTTTTTGCTTAGTTTGGCAATTTTTAAGAATTTTGGTATATCTTACAATAAAAAGCACAGCATCCTTACCTTTGACACATTCATAAAGCTTGGTTTGGCTGTTGAAATCAGTCCCAAGGTCTGGAGAGAACAATTTACCAGCTGAGAAAGTATATCACAGGCAGCTTCTGCTGATTCAGTACTACTATCAACCTATGAAGACAATTTTTAATCTGAATTTCCTGAATGGAATTTATCAGGGTTCCTGTAAATATTATTTAATGGAATCAAATGTAAAAATAAAGTTTATTCCTTCCCTTAATATACATGTGTATCTTCAGTTTATACAAGATAACTCATATTACAAAGTAAGAAACAGAGATGGTGACAAATTAAATTTCCAAACACTTCATACTTACAAAATCTTTTACAATTACTTAAATTTTAATAACAACATCCAGATGAAGAAAACCAAACTTTAAGTCATTCAATTATAGTTCAAGTTCTATACTTCAATCTATACAGTAACTAAAGAAAAACAGGAAAGAGTTTAAGATAAAAACTCTGCCAAACTGATTATTTCAAAGATCTAGATATACCAAAAGGTTGTTAAAGTATAAGGCCTTGTTTATACTGAGGGCTTGTTTTCCTCACCTTAAAGCTGACATACTGGAGATGGGCAGCATGCTTTTTAATGATCTGCTGGATGAGATCAGGATGCGTGGACTTGAAGTATGAAGTCGCTGACTGGTTCAGTTCAAATTCAAACTTTCTCCAAAGATCAGGAATGTGAAATACTTCATTCCATCTCCTACACACAGAAGATGCTCGGGCTCGATCTACTAAAGGGAGATACTGAAAAATTCGTAATACCACATGGTAAGGCAAACTTCCCCAGTCTATGAGAACAGTGTACATGGGAGTCTGGTTGAGAGAAGAGCAGAAGTCATGTTTGGGTTGTTTCACCACTGGTGGACACTGGGCAATTTTATTCACAACAGAGAAATTATTCCTCTTCATTCTGCAAACATTAGAAAATGTTAAGTGCTTGATCCTTTTTTCACACTTCCATCACATAGTTGCACCCCAATTGTACAGAATAACATTAGAAAAGGGAAAATAATTTAATACAATTTTAGTATTAGTATTCCACTTTCATACATTGGTAGGTGTTGCTTTGTGCTGGGCACACAGATAACTAAGTGCTATGATGAAATGGTAAAATACAATAACAAACAATGTGACTTCAGTTGGGACAAGTTGCAGTGAAAGAAAAAAAGAACAGCATATGATTGAGTTTGTGATGGAAATGGCTGGGAGACTTCCAAAAGGAAATAACCAAAGATGCAGTATATGTCAGAGATTTTTTTCTTGGTCGATTACTGTATCTTACTATCTCTTACAAAGGAGGAAGCATCATAGTGTAATTTTTGCTAAGAATTCTTGGGAGGTATGGGAGACAGTATAGCTTAACTAAAAGCACAGATCTTTTAAGTCTCATCTACGCCACTTATTAACCACGTGATCTGATCACAGCCATCACTTTAAGCTTCAGTTTTCTCATCTCTAAAGTAGTAGAACAGCAGGACTCAAAGTCGCTGTGAGGATTAAAGTACTTTGCGTGCCAGTAAAACACTTTATGTGCTAAGTGTTGCAATCTGCATTGCTATATTAAACCACCCAATGCATTTTTCTGAACTATTTTCACTCCTTAAGTCAAAGCACAATTCTAGCAAAAAGTCAAATGATATGTAATAATTTTCAGATGCCAGCTGGGACACAGGAACTCTAAGGGAAGGTGGACACAGCAGGGATAGTCTTTGTGTAAGCAACACACTCAGTACTCTCCAGTCAATAACAAATGGACATTCTTCCCCCAAAAAGAAATGATGAATCTCCAGATATTACCCATTTTGGGACACAATTAAGTTCCAACAAATCTGAAGTTCAGATATCCAAACATATATGGTCATCTTCTACATGTGTTTTATGTAGAATCCAAAATATTTTAAATACAGAATTATTTGAAAGGTAAAATAATGGTAAGAGTGGTTCTGAACTTCAACTCTGGTTAACTATCCAGTCCTCCTTTCACCTTTCAGTGTTAGGAATACATATGGAAGATGTGCTGTCATAATTGCAACATACCTTCCAACTTAATTAAATATTTAATATGTAAATATATCTGTTTTATGATTCATTCTGTGTTAGATGTGAAACATTTCTTAACCATAACACAGAGCTGAATCCCAGGATTGATCTATAAAGTCACTGAGCAAAATGAAATGGCACTTTTAGAGTTGGGAAAATTGAAATGGAAAATAGAAACACAAAGTTGTATCCCAAGTGGCAGAAAAAGATGCTATGTACACTTTAGTCTATACATACTTTATTCAAAACTGTTACATGCATAACTTAGAAGCTCTGCAGTGATATAGTATACATACCATACATGAAACCGCTAACTGTCC